AATTTTTTTGGTTAAATTTATAATAATTTTACTCATGTATATTATATTAAAGTTAGAGAAATAATAATAATAATATTAATTGGCCATTAATCTTTTGATGTAATAATATTTTTTTTTTATTATTATGCAAAGCACATATAATTTTTTTTACACCAACGCATTTTTTTTGTCACAGCTTGGCACCAACACATATAATTACATTTTATTACTTCTAATTTCTAATTTTTATTATAACACCTGAATAACTAATTCTTCGTGATAAACGTAAAAATAGCTTCTTCTTTTTTTACTGACATCAATAATATGTCTTAAATTTTTGTTTTTATTTAAATTACTCCTAAATTGATGAAACATTTATTATATATTTTCAAAGCTTTTACATTTAAAGAACAAAAATAGAAAATCATTTGTATTTTAAGAGGTATACATTAAATGAATTATCTTATTTGTTAATTAAACTCATAAATGCATTTAATAAGAGTTTTTTGGTAAAGTAAAAATTAATATTAAAGACATATTCCCTCTGGTCATTATTATAAGGTATTTTTAATCAAATAACACAAATTAATATAAATAATTATGTTAGTTAATTTTATCAGATTTATAGAACAAAATTTTCATGTACCAATTTTACCTTTCTTATTTATTATTAATTTTTTATAAAAGATGTAACGATATTAGTAATAAACTCGGTAAATGAGATTGAGAGTGTTTAAGAGGTGAGAGAGAATATTTATTTCTCAAATTCTCTTATCCAACAACAAAAACATATTACATTCTCATAATCTTTAATAGAGATAAAAGATGAAAAAAATAAAGTTAATGCTTCATAGAAATATTAAAGTATCTTATTAAAAGGACTACCATTTCTTTCTAAATTGTATTTATAATAAGGGATTGGAGGGAGTAATAATTTTGAAAAGACTATCAAACTAGTACACTACACATAAACACAAATGATAAATGAAGTAACAATTACATATTAGTATATATTAACTACCAGCAAGTAATTGGTTTAAAGTGAAATTGTACTCGATTTCCTCCTCAAGTAAGGTTTTTGGTTTAAGTCTTGTGGATGAAAAAAAAATAATTGAGAGAAATAACTCTACTAAAGATGATCAATTATTAGGTTTTCCAACATAAATTAATCATTAACAAAATTAGTAAATACTTCATACCAATAAGATAAGTATAAAAAAAATAACATATTAATATCTTTAGTTAATTTTATATTATTTTTAAGTATAATATAAATAAATATATCATACTACTTTTGTTCCTAATTATAAGTAATGTAGGACAAATCATCAAAATAAAAAAAAAAATTACATTGGTTGTTTTTAATTAATTGTATTGTAAATTTCAATTTTATTCTAAAGATACCATTTATTTTAAGTGGTTGTTATATTTAATATTAATAATAAATGAATGCAATGAAATAGAATTAACAATTAATTAAGAGTATAAACAAATTTACCTTAAATAACTTTAGAAATTCTTATAATTAAAACGAAAGAAAAAAACCTAATTTGTTACTTTTGAACCAATAATAATAATAATTAAGAATTGCAGTACATGAAATCAAATCCTCATTAATAACACATTAAAATCCATTATATTTTCTCCTATGCTAATAATAAATGTACATTTAGAGCTCACTTTCTATTAAATATCTCGCTTGCAATTTATTAAATAAAAAATAACATTAAAAAATGGTCCAAAATGTCGTTATTTTAATCTTAAGTTACGTGGACAAATATAAAATATAAAATTCAAACAAATTTCAGATTAAAAATTAGTATAAGATAAATTAATAAAAAGATTAATTCAAAAAAAATTAATGAAAAGACCAATTTTCATAACAAATTTTGTTTATATAAAAGTGTTACAGAATTACAAAAATTAAAAATAAAAGATTGTAATAATACTATAAAAACGTTAAAATAAAAGAAGAAATAATAAACAATACAATTGAAGAAATAATTTATACTATAAATTCAAAAAATTAAAATCCATGAAAAATAAAAATATAACGACCCGGCTAGTCACTACACACTGCTCCACAAATCAGCGCCACACAGAAGAAACAAGTATATATATATATAAACATCTAAAACATATACACAAGGTCCAAGTTTGGGGCTTAAACAAGACAGAACTACAAAATACAGCCCAAAGTAGCTATAACTAGTAGTTAAGACATCAAAACATCAAAAGAGTCAGCTCTATCTGCCAGCTGCAGACCTGCCTCAATCACCCACCTAACCCTGCTTTGCTCCCATACAACGTATGATCATTGCAGTCCAAACATATCCAAACAACAAAGGGTAAGCTAGTGAAAAGAATCAACATATAAAACATATATAAGAAATATGAACAACCACAGCTATCAGCACAACATCAGCATACATCTCATCAACTATACAACACAAACAACAATAAGTACATAAAATGCGTCGCACACATATCAGCTCGGAGATCTCCTACAATAGCTCAGCCTTACGGCCTACAACAGCTCAGCCTTACGGCCTACAACAGCTCAGCCTTACAGCCTACAACAACTCAGCCTTACAGCCTACAACAGCTCAGTCTTACGGCCTACAACAGCTCAGTCTTGCGGCCTACAACAATTTATATCAGCATACAGCACGACATAACTTAACAACATACAACACAGCACATCTTATCAGCATACAACACAGCAATATTATAATTCAGCATCATCAATATTCATCAATAACAGCTCAGTTCAGCACAGAACAACATATAAAGAAATAGCATATACGCGCCCGGCGCACTCATGGTCGCGCCCGGCGTGGCACAACTAGAGAGTACCAGGGAGCCAGCACGCCCGGCGCAATTCCTATTGCGCCCGGCGATAGGGGAGGCAAAGACCTCACAAGGTCTCATAAGCTCGGCGTGCTCATCTCGCGCTCGGCACAAGAAAGCAGAGACCTCCCCCAGGGTCTCACGCCCGGTGCAATATAAATTGCGCCCGACGCCACTTCTGGCAGAGACTCCTAAGGAGTCTCCACGCTCGGCGTGACAAAGTCTCGCCCGGCGCCAAACCAGAACCCCAAAACATATGTCACTCATTGATATTGCGCCCAACGCTGTCCCACCACGCTCGGCGTAGGCCATCTAGAGGCTCACATTCTCAAGCTCGCCTGGCGCACACATCCTTGCGCCCGGTGGCTTGCCAAAATGGAGCCCTCTGGTGGTCACGCGCTCGGCGCGAAGAACTATCCGGCGTGATACTCAGCAGCAATCCTCAAACTTTCGAAAATCTCTTCAAAACCTGCAAAATGAACCAGAAAACCAACATGCAATCCATCCAAAAGTCTCCATTTTCATCAAACATCACGAAAAAATACCTCATTTTCAGCATGCAACCAACAAACAATCAAAACCCCAAATTTTCACCCAACCCCAAAAAACCCGAAAACGAATTTCTTCCATCTCAACCCAAAATCATCAAACCATCAGCCCACAAACGAGATTATGAACTCATTTCCAACCAGACACAGCCAAAAACTAGCTTCTCTTACCTCGGTGAAGAAATCCGAGCTCCGGGAAGGAGACAAACTTGAACGGGGGAGAAAGATGAACGGAGAGATGCACTACTAGAATTTTTTCTATTACCTAAGGATTTTCCTAGGAATTTTTCATTAAAATTTGTAGGAAATAAGTTTTCTGCAAATTTTTCTACAAATTTATTTTCGCAGCTAATACCTTCGTGGATAATTGTTTCTTGCCAATTTCAAAATTCGCAAAAAAAATTCTTATGATTTTTACTAAAAAAAAATCTATAGAAAACTTTCTTGCAAAAAAAAATGGCAGCAAACTTTCTTGTGGAAAAAAAATTCTTAAAAAATTTGCAAAAAATATTCTACAAATTTTAAAATCCACAAAATTTTTGCAAGAAATTTTCCACGAAAATTAAAATTTGCAAGTAAATTTCTTGTAAAATTAAAATTTCCCAAGTAAATTTTCTGCAAAATTAAAATTTTGTAGGTAAATTTTCTGCAAAATTTCAAATTCGCAAGTAAATTTCCTAAGAAAAATCGCAGGTAATTTTTTATAATTTTTTTTTAATATTATGATGCCATGCAAGTTCACAATTCTTATAACTTTCACGTATAACGCAAAGTCCATAGACGCTATCCATGTCAGTCAGGCATATTCAGGCATATTCAGAAGGGTATGAACCACAATTAATGAAGGCATAATTAGAGACCAAGAAATCCTCTTCACCTAGCGAAATATATTATATAAAATACAATGATCTACTTGAATAAACTACATATCAAACGTAGTAACTTAGGAGACGCCATATGGAAGAGAAAGCATAAAGATTAGCTACTTCAGTTAAAAATAAGAAAGCTTGCTACATAATCAATAAACATCAAATGCAAAATAAAAACTTCATAACGGTAATACACATGAAAGCCCCACTAAACTATTATACAAAGAATGAGGTACAAAAACATGTATGGTCAATAAAAGAAAAAGAAAAATACCCTGCTCGTACAATTTCTCCCTGGCAAGGGTTGCGTTACGCCCGTTACCTCAGTATTGTAGGAATCCAGTACTCTTTGCATACACGTAATAATACGTTTAATTACATAATGAGTGGAATTACACAATCAAACAAAGGAATAATACATACAACGGCTACAGAAGAAGCAAAGGCCAAAGTTGTAGCACTAGCACCCAACCAATGATTCGATCGCATCAAATTATTCTACTCAGATGATGACCAGCTTGCTCTATTGCTTTCAACATAAAACAACTAGGCCAAAACACATCCAAATATAAAAACCACTCTAAATGATATGATGCAAGGAATCCCCCATGACTCACTCCAGAAAGTGCTTTTCCAGGCTAAGCCATACCTTATGTAGACAATTGGAACCTGTCACTAGGCTTTTTTCTTCTCCATCCCTGATATTTCCATATTATGAACATTTTAGCATCAGAAAGATATTAACATGTACGAAAAATAGGGGGCAAAAACTTTGCAGAGGTAAACTTACAAAGGCAGCGTAATACACAAAAGTCAATCCAGCCAAAACAACAAATGCAATTTTGGTCACAATTGCAGCTGCCATGGCTGCACCGCACTGTTATATTGCACTATTGATAATTGTGCTTGATGTATGGCCCGTTTTATACACTAGAGTCTGTTTACTGTCTATGAATTATGTTAAAATTATTGGATGGATTTTAAGTTCACGCATGCCACAATTATAACAAACTAACCAGACTAAAATTTCGGTGCTACTGCTCTCTTAGGATAGAACAAAAAGGATTGCCAATTTAAACAATAATAAAATGGCATATTCCTCTCTCTCTCTCTCTCCCTCTCACACACACTCACAAAAACTCTCTCTCTTTCACAAACACAAAATAGATATCATACATTTCTTAAATGTTGTCTCTATATCAGAAAGTGAGTTAAAAATGGTTAGATGAAACAAAAAATTAGTCAGTACACAGAACAAGGAGCCACAGAATGTCTAAAATTTTTCCTAATTTTGATATACAACTAAAGATGAAGAAAAAATTGTCAAATTCTATATACCCAATAAATCTACAACCTTCATTAATTGAAACAAACCTGTCATAAAACATCACCACATATTCTAATAGATCATGTTAAACATTACACAAAGTAGTGAGTAATATGTATAGATCATATATATATGTGTTTCAATATTCTACAATCTCCAAATCCAACACCATAGGACTGATATTTTGTAATTTACCGAATACTGACCCAAGGAATGTGGTAGAATAAACTTCAACTATCAATCATCCAAAACAATGCAATTATGCAAGTGAAACACAGCATATATTCTCCATACGTAAATAAAAACTCTAGCATTAGAGTAAAGAGCCTCAGCACACTTAAAAGAAACTTACAACAGGAGGATAAGTAAACAGAATGGCATTTTTCTCCTTAGTGTATATGATCAGCTGCAACAGCCCATTGAAGATCACGTACGTGCGAAAGAATTAAGGATCAAACAACACTGAAGCAGAATGAATAAAAATTTTAAACATCAGCAGCAACATTTTCCCTTTTCACACAAACACCAGATCCATTTAACTACGAACCTTGATAACATTCACTCGAATAATTCATGCATCCTAATCCCCTTATAAAAAACTTAAACCCTAATTCCCCTCCTTTTCCCCCCAAAAAACAAAACAGCAGTTTCCATTTCCAAATAGGCTTAATTGTAGATGTATCCACATCCAATTACCTCATGCAAACCAAAATTGAAACAAGCAAAGAAAGGACAATGTAATGAAAGGATATTCTCACCAACCGGTGCCCCTGCCGGTTCGTGTACTTGAACCTGGCGGTGTCGCCGGAGATTCTCACCGGCGGGAGAGAGTCCTCGTCGGGCTTCGGCGTCATGTTCTGGTCGAGCCAGACGGCGCCGCGCATCTCCCTAGGTCTGTACCAGAGCTTGATGTAGTTCTTGCGCTAGTTCCGGAGCTTGGCGGAGGCGGCGATGCCGAAGACGACGTGGCGGAGGGCGGTGCGGTCCTCGGGGTTGGTTTGGCGGGACTGGCGGCGGAGGAGGGCGGAGGCGGAGGCGGAGGCATTGACGGAGAAGGTGTGAGTGGCGAAGGGAAGGTGGTTGCAGGCGCGTGAGGTGGAGACGAGCTTGATCGTGTAGACTACGTAGGTGACGGAAACGAAGAGGATGAGAGAAATAGTGTTGCGGAGGTGAATGCAATCAGTACGAGAAGACGGAAATGTGTTTACGTTTACGAGGAGTTTTTAAATTAATAAAAATAATCATAAATAAAAAAATTGGCAGGAAATACTACTCACAAAAAATAAATAAATTACTTGCAAATTTATATTTAAAACAAAATTTGTAGGAAAATAAAAAAATTCCTGCAAATTTTTTTAGAAATTTTTATTTGTAACAAAAAATTCATATAATTAATATTTTAATAGTAAAATTTGCAAGAATTTCCTGTGATTTTAAAATTATAAAAACATTTGCAATAATTTATTAGAAATTTATATTTGTAAGAATTTTTGTAATAATTTCCTACAAATATTTTTTCGCATGAAAATCCTTGGGTAAATGACATATTTCTAGTAGTGACGAGAAGAAAAGGAAGAACTCCAGCCAGCTCCGAAAGCCCCTAACCAACACCTAAAATGCAACAGCCACCACAAAGAAGGAAATGGGCAAGTGAGGAGAAGTGAGAGCTTGAGAGAAAATAGTGAAGAGTGAGAGTAGTGTGAGGGTAAGTGAAGGAGGAAGAAAAGGGAAAAAGGGGTCTCACATAAAATGTATTAAAAAATTATTAATATTAAACTATTTAATTGTAATAGATGCTATTGTAAGATAAAACATCTAAAAATAATATAAAAATATAATTTTTTTTATAAAGATCAATTATTAAAAATATTAAATTAAGATGAAAACAATAACAAATAATCATAATAAATATATGTTGAACTGTTTTAGTACCCCTCAATTATATTGGATACCGTAGAACTATATATATTTATATTGATATTCATAACTTATGAGAATGACTTTAATTTCTTTTAAAATTTTATACTTTTCTAGATTTAAATTATTGTTTGAGCATATTATGTTTAAATATAATTAAACCATATTTTATTTAAATTATAATATTTACATTTTAAATTAAATTATATTAATTATTATAAGCATTTTATTATTTTAAAATTCAAATTAAATCTTCTTTATCTAAAATTTTAACAAAATTTAATTTCATTAAATTATAATTATACTATTATCCTCATAATTAAATCAAATTAAATGTTATTTTTATTAATATGAATTTTAATGTATATAATTAAATAATTATATATAAAAGTATTTGCACATCTATTTGCAATAAAACGGCATCTTGATTCTTGGGATTTAAGAATTTCAATCTCATGACATATCATTCAATAGAAGTCACTTTCTTTCCTTTTCTTTGAAGTGGGATGCATTAAGTGAAAGAGATCTATTTCAGAAACCTAGTTAATCCATAGTACCATGCAATAGTTTTTTTCTTAACCACCTATAGCAAGATGTTCAATCCTACAACATATCCAGTACCTACCATGGCAACATGAAGCAACTTGTTCAATAACAGAAATTATTGAAGTCCACAATGTGGACCAGTCAGAAACAATTATATCAGCATGTCCAAGTCCAATTCCAAACAAGCAACAATCAACACTGAACATAAAACAGAAATAAGAACCTAACTTTTGCAGAAAACGCCATGTCACTATCACTTTTTTTCGGTAAAAGCCAAGTCACTATCAATTACCCAAACAAATCTAATTTCTAAATGAAGCAACTTATATCCAATCTAGTTTTGAAGAAGCTAAAAACATTCATTTCACAGTCCAATTACTTTTCATATTGTTGCTTCAGCTTGATGAATGATTATCAGATAATATTTTAGGCTCTTTTGATTTAAGTGTATGGCTGTTTATTATATTCACAATGTTAATTTGCATAATAATGTTGCAATGTGATACAAGTTTCAGTTATTAAAATAGATGGTCTATCTTTGCATAAAATAGTGGAAATTTCAATTATATCTTGCAAGTGAAGTTTGTACCGGCATTGTCTCTCTGCAGTTCAAAAACCTGCAAATTGCATGGTTTTTAGAAAAAATATTTTAGCAGTTTGGAACAAAGGACTCATCTTTTAGGAGTGGAAATGAGATGATTTTTTTATTGCTTGATCTTCCACAGTCGGTTCCTTGGTAGGAAGGATCTTTAGATTAGAGGAAAGGTTTTTGAGTATTTAAAAACAGCATTTAGATCTCAGCCTTTGAAATTTTTTAATATCACGTCACATGAAGGTGAAAGGAAATGGAGGTGCCCATTTCTTTGGATAATGGATGAAAAATTATTGGCCAGTCTTAGATCACATAGTCCCTCCTTGATCTTTACATGACATATCCTTAGATGCTATTATTTTTTTCTTATAAGTTAAAAAATTTAAATATATTTCGTGCAAATTAACTTAAATATATTTTATGTAAAAATTAGTTGAGACTAAATGTTCCGGACTACCTAATAATTTTTTGATTTGAAAAAGTCTGCAGGGTGCATTCCTTACTTCCGAAAATGACAGTAAAAGTGTTTCTATTCTATTTTATAGTGAGAGAGATGAAATTAGTGTTACCAACGATAATAATGTTCTTAGTGTTTTACATATCCTTTAAGAAAAAAGAAAAGTAAATTCATCTCTCTTTCTCTTTCATAAGTATTTTCAGAAAGGAGGTACACGATGAAAATGTTCTGAAGTCAAATTGTTGTAAAATTTACCTTTTTAATATACTACAAGCTTGAGAGAAAAACATAATTACAGTTGCACACAGTATAACCTTCTCCCTTCTCTTTTTCCTTTTGAAGAAAAAGAAGCCGGCAATTAATATTATTGAATCAAGTGAAAAGAGAAGCATCATCATTTCATCAGGCGAAAAACAATTAACTTAAACAAATATTGAAATGAAAACAAAAATTATTTCTCCTAGCTAAAAAGAATACTTGGTGTAAATAAATCCTCACTCATATATATACATAAACTCAATGAACAAATAAATAAAGAATAAAATATGTATCCGTTTCTCCAGTAATTCAAGTAATGAAAATAATCTCCTTCCTTAACACACTCTCAAAATCAACCCTTTACTCAGTTGTTTGGACCTTACTAGCTCCATCATCCCCTGAAGCCAAGTCTGGTTTGATCTCCTCCAACTGCTGTAGAACTTGCTGAACTTCTGGCCTAGCAGCTGGAGATGGATCCACACAATGCAATGCTAACTTCAATGTATTGAGCAATTCATCCCCTATGGCTGGTGCATCCCTCATGAGCTCCAAATCAAACACTTCATTGGTCCACTCTTCCTTCACTATGGATGCCACCCATTGGGGCAACTCCATGCCATTGGTTGGCTCCCCAGGTGGTTTTCCAGTTAGGAGCTCCAACATGATGACACCAAGGCTGTACACATCAGTCTTTGTGTTAGGCTTCTTGGTCTTTGAAAGCTCTGGTGCATTGTAGCCAAGACTTCCTGCAGTGGCAATGATGTTGGTGTTGGCAGAAGCTGTCATTAGCCTTGAGAGACCAAAATCTGTTATATGGGCTTCTGTTTGCTCATCCAATAGTATGTTGCTAGACGTAAGGTTCCCATGTACAATGTTCTCCTGGCTATGGAGGTAGCACAAGCCGCGAGTGACTCCAATGGCTATCTTCATCCTTGTTGGCCATTCAATAACAATTTCAGGCCCACGAGCTGCATGTATTGGATATATCATATATCACACATTCACACGTCAGTATCAGAAACAATTACACGATACATTCTATTTACTTTTAGTACTACCATTAAGGAATGGTGCATATATCAGATATATCACTTATCAGTATCAAAAGTAATGGCATAACAACATAAAAGATTAACTCATAAGATGCTCCAGTTACTGTTCATTACTAACCATGAAGGTATTGTGCTATATATTAGATATTGCATGTATTAGATATATCACATATCAGTATCAAAAGTAGTGGCATACAAAATACAAGATTAAATATAAACTAATGAGATACTCTAGTTACTGTTTATTACTTACCATGAAGGATAATGCTATATGTTAGATATAGCATGTATTAGATATATCACATATATAAGTATCAAAAGTAATGGCACAACAAAATAAAAGATTAAATCTTAACTAATGAGATACACTAGTTACTGTTTATTATTTATCTTGAAGGAATGATGCTATATATTATATATATCACGTCAGTATCAAAAGTAATGGCACAACAAAATAAAAGATTAAGTCTAAACTCAAGTTTATTACTTCCCATGAAGGAATGATGCTATATATTATATCATGCATTAGATATATCACATGTCAGTATCAGAGGTGATGAAACAACACATTCTAAATACTGTTAAGAACTTACCATGAAGGAATAATGCACATACTAGATATGACACAAGCATTAGAAGCAATGGCACTAAATTAAGATTTAAATCTTAACTAACTCAAAAGATGCTCTAACTACTGTTCAGTACTTACCGTGGAGGAACGATGCTAGGCTTCCTTTGGTCATGTAATCAAAGACAAGAAGCTTCTCTCCTTTTGGTCCTAAATAGTAGGCTCTAAGTGCTAAGAGATTTGGGTGTCTGATTTTGCCAAGTGCAGCAACCTCGGTTTCGAACTCTTTCTGCCCTTTAGTAGTCTTTTCCCTCAACCTCTTCACAGCAACTTGGTTACCATCTTCCAGTGTTGCTTTGTATGCTGTTCCATACGCACTTTTTCCCATTATCTCCGCAGTTGCACACAAAAGATCGTCAGCAGTAAACACAAAAGGCCCATCAAAGTGAACTAGTTTCCCACCAGCTTCACCTCCTGATTCAACCTCACCACCAGCTGAGGCACCTTTCTCAACACTCCTAGCAGATGCTGCAGCCTTGGCAGTCTTGCTGCTCTTTCTGCTTGAAGCAGTTCTTCTCCTGATCAAACAACACAGCAAAAAGCAGCACAGTGATAACAGAATCAACAGGAGAACACCTGCTACTATGAGGATTATGTCCTTGGTGCTTAATTTGCGATGATGTGGCTTGGAAGGAGGTTGTGGTGATTGAGCTGGAAGATTGTGAGGTGGGGGTGAAGTGCATGGTTTTGAACTGATGTACCCACATAACTCAAGGTTTCCAACGAAAGAGCTAGCATTGAATCTTTTGGAAAGTAGAGATGGGACAGAACCAGATAGGTTATTGTAA